AAAGTTTTATCCTCAAATCTGGTTCAACATTCAATCTATTTCTATATTTATTTTTGAAGAAAACCAAAGATGAGAAACCAGTTTCACACTTATATGTCGTGACGAAAGGCATTAAGAATTTGACTGCTTTTTCAGATAAATGTGAATATTCATTTCTACAGCTCAACCAAAAATCAATCAAGGAAAGTTTATCAAAGTTCTCTTTTATGGCAGAGTCACAGGAAAGTTCAATTAATGAATCCACTTCTGATGCACTCAATTGTAGTACCTCTTCATTTTCGGTGTCAACAGTAAACGGGTTCTTAATCCACATTTTACTGGTGTCAATTGGAGGAAAATATTCATTTAAACTTGATGTTAGCCCCAAGAGGTGTTCTTGGTGAGATATTAGTTTCAGCATATTTTTCTTGTAATTCAGTTAAAGTACAAAAAGACTTAAAGTTTCTCTTATTAACTTGCTGTGCCCATAAACAAAGTTTTTTAATTGTTGCCTCAACTTTTTCATGAACTTTGAAAATATTAATTTTAGTGCCTTGTAAATTCAAATTTAAATCATTTAAAAGACAAAATATGTCACATAAGTAAGCCACCATTATTAACCAATCAAATTAATGAAACCTGTCTTTAAATGTAAACATAACATCTTTTGCTGATAGGGGTGTCGCTCCAAGAACTATCGAACTTCATCCTTCATTTCAAAGAATTATTTCAAAATGTTTCCTTTCAACAGCCATCGAACCTCACAGTGTAGTAAGAGATGCTCACGTTCACTTCCTAATTCGTTACACAAAGCAGTAAAGATTCTGGAATTTAAAGGACGAGATTTTATTTAATTTATAAACTTCACACATTCTTGAAGAGTGGAAATCAAAAGTGATGGCGTAGTTTTCACAGCTAATGCCTCTCTGTGAATACTGCAGTGCACCCATACACAGTCAGGTGCTACAGCTCGAATCTGCGGGACAAGCCCAGTGCAAGACCCTACCATTGCTTGAGCCCCATCGCTGCTCAGTCCAACACACTTTTTCCAGTCAATATCGCTTTGAATAATAAAATCATTGATTAGCTTAAAAATTTCAGCAGCCGTTGTTCTTGTTGGAAGTGGTTTACAAAATAAGAGATCTTCCTGAATGGAGCTTTCATAATCGTATCTAACAAAACAGCATCAGCTATATCAGTGCTTTCATCCACTTGTAATGCAAAAAACTGACTATTCTGTATTCGATCAATGAGAGTTTCTTCAATATTTTTCGCCATTTCTTCAATTCTACATTTCACTGTATTTTTAGTTAGACAGAGAACCCAACTGCCTGCACCAGTCTCTGGGCCCCCTTCCAGGGGTAGTTGTTACTCCATGGGTTGTGTGTTTCAGGCCTGGCAGCCAAGGAGCTTACTTGGCCCGAGTCCTCCTCACCCCGCCTTGCTTCCCCAGTGCTGCTTTCACTCCAGGGAGCCTCCTGCTCTCCTAGCAGCTAGGCCCTCTCTGCTCTCCTCCCAGAGCAGCAGCCCGTCTTCCTCCTCCCTCCAGGAGTCCTTCCTTTTATAGGCCCCAGCTGGGCCCTAATTAATGAGGCCTGCCTCAGCTGAGGCGTTACTCCCAACCCTTGCTCCGGGCTGAGGTTTTCCCTTAAAGGGCCAGTGCAGGGCAAGCACCCTGTCACAGAGGGGTTCAGGAGCAGAGCCAGCCCTGAATCTAGCAAGGGAACTCAGAGAAGCAGGAGTGCTCACCCCAAAGATAAGCAGGCCAAATGCTACCACTGTGGCAGATCTGGCCATATAAGGCCTGACTGTCCAGACCTAAAGAGCAGGCCGAGGCCAGCAACTCCTGACTGATCCATAAACATCAACTCTGTCATAGTGTGCCCACAAGCAGGTCACACAGACCCCAGCGAGGCGTCTGATGCCACCATGAGTCCAGGTGTGAGCTCTGCAGTGGTTAATGTTAACCCAGTGACGTATGATGGTGTGGGGGAAGGCAGTGAGTTCACCCGGTATGTCAGGACTGAGGCATGGAAGGGCAGCGAAAAGTTTATGGGGGAGGCGAAGGTCAATGGGAGTTGAATGTAGGGGCTGGCGAGACACTGGCTCTGATATCACAATAGTTAAGGGGCACCTGGTAAAACCGGAGGACATGTTGCCTGGGGAATGTGTGACGATAATGGCTTTGTCTGAGTACTTGGTGAGCCTGCCCATGGCTAAAGACCATCTAGAGTGGGGAGGCTTTAGGGGGCAGGTCTTGGGGGCTGACTGGGACTTGATTCCAGCTGATGTCTTGGTGGGGAATGACATAATGGATGTGCCTAGCTGGCTTAATGTGGTAACCAGATCACAGAAGGAATATGTGGGTGAGGTAGACACCCAAGCAGGTAGCAGCTGGGGGGAAGGCGGACCAGCCCAGAATGTGTCCCTGACGGGGGATGGAGAGCGATTATCCGAGGGATCGGACATACCTCTGGATCTGAGTGACACGCAGCAGGAGTTCATTAAGGCACAGCAGAGTGATGCATCCCTGGAGAGAGCCAGGGATGATGCACAGAATCAGGCCCCTGCTAATGAGGAGAGAGGCAAGTTTCGCATACAAGATGGGTGTTATACAGGGAGCCCCCCAGGGGAGGAAGGGTTCCCAGGCAGCTGGTGGTGCCCGAAGCATATCGTGAGGAATTGTTGAAGTTGGCCCATGACGGTCCATTTGCAGGGCATCTGGGAGTAGGCAAGACTTGTGACAGGCTAGAGCAGAACTTCTATTGGCCTTGCATGTTCAGGTCAATGAGGGAATATTGCTGAAGCTGTGAGTTGTGCCAGAAGCATAGGGATCCAGGGGGCCCAGCAAGGCGCCCCTGCAGCCTCTACCTATCATTCAATCACCAAAAGATTCCTTACTGGTCTACAAAACATCTTTCCATCCGTTTGCCCACCAGTTCCTATTTGGGACCTAAACCACTTACTCAAGAGCCTGACAAAGCCACCTTTCGAGCCCTTGGCAGCCTGCCCTTGGTGATACCTATCTATGAAGGTCTCCTTTTTAGTTGCAATAATCTCCAGTAGGAGTGTGGGGGAACTTGCTGCCTAATGGTGGATTCCCCCTCCCCCTCTACAATTTTCACCAAGGACAGGGTTACACTTCGACCTCACCCCAAATTTCTCCTGAAAGTTCCCTCTCTCTTCCACATCAATGAACTGATACACTTACCTGCGTTTTCCCCCAAAATGCACACTGATCCATCACATGCAACATGTCACACCCTCGATGTCCGCAGAGCGCTCATGTTCTACATTGATCATACGAGAGCCCAGCAAATATCTCCTAGACTCTTCCTATCCTTTGCGGAACAATCCAAAGAGCAGGCTTTCTCTTCTCAAAGGATCTCCAAGTGGATCTCTTCATGCATCCACACATGCTCCACCATCCACAACAAAGAACCACCGGGCAACATCACAACCCATTCCACAAGAGCCGTATCCTCTACAACCGCTTTCCTCAGAAATGTACCTCTACAGGGCATTTGCAATACAGCCACTTGGTCATCAGACCCACATTTGCACAACATTATGCTCTCGCATCCTCCATAGCGTCATCCATGGCTGTCAGACACACAGTATTATCCTTCTTGTCGACAATAGGGCTCCAAACCCACCTTCATGAGCTGACTACTGCTTTATAGTCACCCAGGGTATGTCTAGACTACGTTTTTCTTTTGAAAGAAGATATGCAAATTCGGTGGTAATTTGCATATCTTCTGATCGCTTTTTCGAAAGTTTTTTTCTTTTCGAAAAAGCAAGCAGTTTAAACATGGTTCTTTTTTTTAAAAAAACCCTTTTTTCGAAAGAACCTGTAAACCTCAATTTTTGAGGAAGAGGGTTCCTTCGAAAAAAGTATTTTTTTTCAAAAGAACTGCATCTAAATTGCTTGCTTTTTCGAAAAAACTTTTGAAAAAGCAATCAGAAGAAGATATGCAAAATAAAGCTGAATTTGCATATATTCTTTTGAAAGAAAAATATAGTCTAGCCATACCCCCAGAATGGAGCACCCAAAGGGACTCTACTCGAAGAAGAATAAAGAGTTACTCACCTTGTGCAATAATGGTGGTTCTTCGAGATGTGTCCCCCCCATAGGTGCTCACTACCCTTCCACCTTCCCCTCCTTTGGAGCCCCATGCTCTACTAGCATGGGTAGAAAAGGAATGGAGGGAGCCACAATGCGCGTACACCTAATGGACACCAACAGCACGAGGGGGGCACCACGGCACATGCGTGGTGCAGCGAACACTGCTAGAAAAATCCCCAATTGCCAACTCGAGGATGTACCAGCACCCACAGTGGAGCACCCATGGGGGGACACACCTCGAAGAACCACTGTTACTGCACAAGGTAACTCTTTTTTTCTTTAGTTCTTTACTGTGCAAATATTTGTAATAAAAATAAATGTGAGCATTGCACACTTTGCATTCTGTGTTGTATTTGAAATCAATATTTGAAAACATCCAAAATATTTAAATAAATGGTATATGTTATTACCAGTGCAATTAATTGTGATTAAGTTTATTGCTTGAGAACCCTAATATTTTCTCATTAATTATTAGTAAAACAATTTAATTTGGTACTGATGTATTTATTCAAACATAACAAGGCACTGTGATTTTCTGAAGGAAAAACTGGATCTGTATTTTCATATAAAGTATCAGTTTTTATTTAGCATTTAAATGGTTAAATTCAAGGTGAATTCTTTACCACTCCATTATTTAAGAAAAGGGGGCCATAGGTTCATTAGCAAGGAGAAAACACTTTTGACAGTGTTACATTCTTATTACATATTACAAAATGTTTATAGCTAGATGTTAATCTGTGTTTACAGAGTGTTTTCTGTGGAAATTAATTTTTATAAACAAAGACTCTTGAAGTATTGTATGCTGTGGACTTTAGTAGTACACCCCTCCTTTGGTTTTACAATAGTTTCATCTGATGATGCAAACTCTAACTTAGCTTATTTAACTTCCTTGTAGAAACTGGTGTATCACTGGAAGACAAGATTGCGAGGAAAAGTGAAATGGGGAATCTACAAAAAAAGTTTTCTGTCAAAGGAGATGGTTGTAAGGCAAGTCGTCAGAAGCAGGCAGAGAGTAGCGTAAGAAAAGATATATCTGAGAAAAAGGCAATTGAACATTTACCGGACTGTGAAGGTGAAGTTAATGGTTATCTAAACAACGGTAAAAAAAAGAATGAAAGCAATGATGTTAAGGAGACCTCCAGTTCATGTTGTACAGAATCTTCATCAGCTGGGAAAAGCAGTTTTAATTTGCTTCCACCTACTGCGGCAAAACTGAAAAGTGAAGGAAATGAGTTATTTAAGAATGGACAGTTTGGAGAAGCTGTGGCCAAGTACTCAGAGGCAATTGAAAATGTCATTAATTTAGGTGAGTTGTGATACTTTATGAAAAGAGTAGACTTGCTGTTACTATTTAAAAGAACCACAATTTAACCATTTGTAGCCTAGCCACAGATTGACAGAAACAGACAGCCTGTAAATTCCTCAGTGATGAATAATAAAGTCAGTTTACAAAATGACTCATAAGGTACAATAGAGTGAAATGAATAGAAAGATTGATAATTCTTCATGACAGGGATGTTTGCATATGTTTACATATTAGAATAATTATGTGTATTGTAGGTGATATACCGAATAAATAATAGTTCCTTGAAGCTTTGCATCCTTAGCAAACGGCAGTAGTGCAGTGTAACTCAGAACATACATTATATTTAAATAATGAATTTTCATTGTGCTTGCATATCTTTTTAGGAGTGAAAAGTCAAGATGATCTAAGTATCTTGTATTCAAATAGAGCAGCATGTTTCCTTAAGGAAGGCAACTGCAGTGACTGCATTCAAGATTGTAGCAGGTAAACCACACACTTTCTTTGTAGGTAAAGAACATTCCTACTGATTATTAAACATTTTTAATTGGTTTCTCATTATTAAAATACCATTTAATTAAGTCATTCTAAGGATGGGCCAGTTTCTTGTCATATTGACATGAATTTTTATCTGTTAAAATATGTTGTGAATCACTTACTCCTAAAGGAGAGATAATTAGACTATTGTATAAGCTGATGTGTAGAAGTAATTAAATCTTTCCAGATGTACATAGAAATGCAGGGAAGGCTCAAATTTACAAAATGTTAATATTACATGAAAACAGGCTCTTTACTGAATAGTTCATCAGTGCTCCATAGTTATTTATATATAGTCTGTTTTCCTGTTAGGACTGATAACTTTGTTTGAAATAATTTTTAAGATTGTATACTATAGAAATTGTTTTGCATATACACTCAGTATATTCGCAATCTATGTTACAACTCCTTTCAGAAATTGAGCTAGAATTCTGCTGTCTGCTTATGGTGCATAATTGTAGGGCACGGCACCACTGGCTAAAGGTAAGGTAGTCTAAATCCCCTCCCCCAAGTCTCCCCCCCCCATATTTCTTCAAGTATTACCGTTTTCCCTAAAATAAGTAGTGATTAACGAGGCTTCAGGGGTTGAACAGGATATCATATAGTCAGTGTTCTCATCATCCAAACGAATTTCCTCTTTTGTAATGCTATGCTGTAACATTCTGGAGTGCAGTCCAAACTTGTAGAAAGTATGGCGTTGCCTTATCAGGCAGGCTTAGGGACCCTAAGCATTGGACCAATCCTGTGCAATATATAGGCATGAGTGCACATTTGTTGCTGACCCATGCAGAGAGTCATAGTAACCACATATTGTGAGGCACTTGGGGTTACAGTAAGAGATGGTATAATTCTTCACTGCTCCGGATTGTACCCCAGAATGTGACACATGCACAAATAGAGTATAAAATATTAACTGGATATAATGTAGATTTAGCTTTGAATTTGTATTTATTAAGCTGCTAGCATATTATATATAGTTTACCCTCTGCTTTAGGAGTTTTCTTAGAATGAGCAGTTTTTTTCATATACTTTATAATACTCTATGTAATTTAAAGGCTTTGTTGTAATTAATGAAGATATAAGAGAGCTGAAAACCACGTTTGCTGTCCAAATAAAATTACAGAATTATAGCAATAAATTGCTTCTTTTGTTTCTTGGAGTATAACTCTGCCATTAAAAACAATACTGTGGACCTGTCTTTTGTTTTCTTTCTAAGTGAAAACCTATATCATAATTTTCATCATCATGTGTACAATATTAATTTATGGTACATCCCATAATATGCTATGTGCTTTTTGTATAAACAGAGAGGTATGGTTTGTGCCACAAAGAACAGTGACAAAAAAGTAGGCAGAAGTTGGAAAGAATGGGAAATAGAAACAATATTAAAAAATTAAAAATCAACTAGATTTGCTGTAGTAAGTCTAACAGAAAGAAAAGGGTATGGTTTAATAATGATTTATGATTGACTTCAGCAAGGCCATGGATGGCATAGTGCTTGTATTCTTGATGTCAAAAAAATTACACATTTGCCTTCTAATATTTGTTTCTTGAGAGTTTTCAAGAATTCTCTTAGCTCCTCTTCCCCATAAGGGCTCTGGCTTGGAGTAATTTACCCTTTATCTGTGGAAGGCAGCATGTAGCTTCCTTATACAGTATTACCTTCCATTTCTTCATATTACTGCTGCTGCATACCCAGTCACCTGGTTGCTATTACCCTCCAGGTATACCCTGGAAATGGATGCTGGCTGGCTTCACCTCCCAGATGCTGGTAGTCCCTAAGAAATGCATCCCTTTAATCTGACTGTATCCAATCCTTTTAGATTAAACCAAATTTTTAGGTGTTAGGAAACTGAAAATTGTGCAGTTAGTGTTCAGTAATTAGTGATTGTTCAGTTATTAGTGTGCTCAAGATTAAAAGGAAGTTAAGAGCAGTATTTGAGCCTGGTATGTACTATGTAGTGATGCACAATTGCAATTGTAAACTGTATTTAGCAGTAGAAGAGCTCTTGGAAGCATTTAAATATATCTGTCTTCATTATTTAGATATATGTTAGGATATGTAGTCCTGTATATATCTGCTTGGAATCCTCTAAATTGTAATATTCCTATTGTCCCATTAATAAAAGACACTTTTTAAAGTCATGTCTTTGTGGACATTTTATACTTTTGTTAGCCCATCATGCAACTGGAACAGTCCATTTTGTTTATTTCTAAATATTTTCTTTGTGTTTTACAACTATAAAGGAAATGAAAGCTGTTAGAGGAACAAGCAGACCTAACAAGCATAAAGTTGAGATCCACACAAATCTAGGCACCATTTTAGAATAATTATCCCATTAAGATTAAGCAGAATAATGATGTAAGATGCTATTAAACATTATGGGCCTTAAATATATTTACTGTGAAGGAAGTAGGTTATCAGGCGTAATTAACAAATTTGAATTTAATACCCGCTAATAAAATATATTAGCGCAAACACATTTTGGAGTTTTATTTAGTTGCTAATAAATCACTTTAGATCTGCTCTCATATTTTGTCAAGATAACCCCCATATGAAATAATGGACATACTGCGTATAGTTCTTTATGTCATTGGATAGCTTCATTAGGTTTACATGACAATTCTGTTTTCAGGCCTGTACTGCTTCTAATCTTTTTTTTTTTCTTTTGTATTTCTCAAGAGCTTTAGAACTTCATCCATTTTCCCTTAAACCTCTTCTGCGACGAGCAATGGCATACGAGTCCATGGAGCGATATCGGCAGGCATATGTTGATTATAAAACAGTGCTACAGATAGACAGTGGGATCCAAGCAGCAAATGACAGCATTAATAGGTAAAATTAATTGTGATTTTTGTATTCTTATGAGATACTGAATTAGAGAAATAGGATTTTATTTTGTTCTCTTTTATCTATTCCTCTCCTCTGTGTGCCTCAGGGTTAGAAGTATCATACACAGAAGCACCAATTGCTTTTTTTTAATTGTGTTTACAGTACTGGTTGAATCTCTTTAGTCCATAACTCTCTGGTCCAGCAATATCTATGGTTCGGCATGATTTTAGATGTCGGTGGCCAAGTTTCCCGTGGTCCCATAAAGTTTGTTTACTGCCCATTAGTCCTGGCTCTCATTGGTCTGTGCTGTTATTTAGCTTTAATTTACCCCTACATGACTTCTAAGAGCCCAGTAAGCAGAGGAAGTGTTGGTAATGTGTGCTAGACAATGTAGTAGTTTGGCTCCTGTAGTTCAGCAGATTCTCTGGTTCGGCATCAGTCAGGTCCCAAGAGTGCCAGACTAGAGAGGTTCAACCTGTAACGTCATTTCCCATTTGTTGCCTTCACTCTACAAATAAACCATGAATGTAACTTGACTTTTCTTTTGCTTTGAATATATCATCTTTTTTTCTTTCTTCTACTGTTCTGTCCTTTGTCCTTTGTCCATGCTATATAGTTCCTCCTTTCTTGTTCTAGGCTTTCTCATTTCTTTTGAATTTCTTCTGTGTTCTGGTCAGTGTGAAGACAGCAGCAAAATGAAACCTGTAAGACTCCTGATCCTTGAAGTTCCAGACAAATGTTTTACATCTTCATAGTATGCACAGAGATCCACATTCTGTGATGTTTCACTTTGCTACCACTTGTCAACAGTAGCTTATTAGAGGCTTGTTAATTATCCTAGCCATATCTAGGATGGCTGATTTGTCCTTTTTTTCCAAGTTTGTATCACTTCCCTGGGATTATATTAAAATGTTGATCTTAATGCCTGTAAGCAAAATTTAATGCTTTTTTGTTTTGCGATGGCTATTTTATCCTTTTCCGTGTGATTTAAATTTTTTAACCTAAGGCAAAAATCTTCTGCAAGTTCTGCATGGCAGATATCAATTCTTAATATTCTCCTTTCTCTTCTGGACTCAATGAGAGATGCATGTATCTGGAGAGAGCAAAATGTTAAAACTGAGATCTTCTATGTGTCTCTGAGAATTTTTGCCCTTAATAATTGGGTCTAAATAACTTTTTTTGTAGATGACAAAATACTATCTTGGCTGGAGTGGAATGATAATTTCGTATGATGTTCTGGACAGAAAGGCGTCTAAGCTAGTGGTCTCCCAATCTCTCTTGTTCCAATGTCTGCATTGGTCATCCATTTAACACTGCAGCATACAAGAGAGATGCTCAACCTTTTGCCATATAATTTAAGTGCTCCTTATATTCAAGACCAAGTTCATAAATGCTAAAATGTATAGTGTTTTATATGCAGCTGCTAGCAGTAAAAATGAAATGGAACTGTGAGGAGCTATATGTCAGTGTTTGTGTAACAATATTTTTCTGAGCTATGAAATTTGTACCTCATACATCTCATGAGTGTAGTATCACCTTTTTGAAAAAAATGTTTTAGTTATTGATTTTAACATACTGGACAAACTTAATATATGAGTTACTTAATATATGAGTTTTTTGGAACGGCAGTTTTTTTTTAAATTGTATATGTGTGGTTCTTTATGTTTGCAGAGCTTTATTGTTTTGGGGTAGGGTTCAGTTTGCTCCCTTAATTTTTGTGTTTATCAGGTGAAATAACACTTAACATCTACCCTTCTTATGTTGTTTATATTCTTTTATCATCCAGAGGTCCTGCTGAGGAATGGGACCCTGATGTGTTGGGGTTGTACAAATATAGGGGTAGCTATAGTCACTGTCTACACAGTGTCGACATGAAAGGTATTTGTCGACCACCCAGGTATGCCTCGTGGGATGAGGTTTACCTGGGTGGTCGACAAATACCTTTCATGTCGACACCAGTGCGTCCAGACTATTGCGCTGAGCCGACAAACAGCTGATCAGCTGTTTGTCGGCTCAGCGCAATAGTCTGGACGCACTGGTGTCGACATGAAAGGTATTTGTCGACCACCCAGGTATGCCTCGTGGGATGAGGTTTACCTGGGTGGTCGACAAATACCTTTGATGTCGACACCCGTGCGTCCAGACTATCGAGCTGAGCCGACAAACAGCTGATGAGCTGTTTGTCGGCTCAGCGTGGCAGCCATGTAAATTTAAATGAAGCGGCGATTATTTAAATCGCCGCTTCATTTTACTATGTCGGGTAGCCTAATCTACATGCATCTGTCACCAGAGGCATGTAGTCTAGACGTACCCTTAGAAATATAATTTTTCTAACCTTTTTCTTAGTTTCAAAATCCCATCTTTCTTGCTGTCAACTGCAGGTTATTAATTTCTGTGATTATATTTATGACAAAAGTGTATAGGATTGGGCTTGATACTTCAAATATTGTCATACTTACATTTCCTTTTACTTTATAGTAAGTAATGGTATGAATCACAGAACAGTATTTGCTTTTTTTCTACTTCAAATATTGCGTATGACTGCAGAGAAGCCATTATGCATTGAGCAGAGGCCACCATACATTCAACTTTCAATATAGAATGTATTTTATAAGGGAGGGACAGTCATTGACGTTATTCCCTATGCTTTTTGCAAAGTTCATGATGGCTTTAACTTCTACCTGTTAGTGTATGTGCCTCAGAAGGGATCTTAGGCTGTGTCTAGACTACAAGGCTTTTTTGAAAAAAGTAACCTTTTTTCGAAAAAACTTCACCTGCGTCTAGACTGCCACCATGTTCTTTTGAAATTAAATTGAAAGAATGCAGTGGTTATTTCGACAGCGGTAAACCTCATTTTATGAGGAAGAACATCTTTTTTTGAAAGCTCTTTCGAAAAAAGGCATTCTTGACTGCAAACAGGGCTTTTTCAAAAGAGAGCATCCGGATTGCCTGGGTGCTCTCTTTCAAAAAAGCGGATTGCTTTTTCGAAAAAGTTGTGGCTGTCTAGATGATCTCTTTCGAAAGAAGCATGTAGTCTAGACGTATCCTAAGTGTAACATTTTCTGTAAAGAATGTTATATTTAACTGCAGAGTAAACTTGATAGTACATCCATGTCTACATCTGCTACAAGATGAGCTCTTGGTGTGGTGAAATCATGGATGTCGTACTATTTGTGTGCTTGGTTTTATCTCTGGATCTCTTTATCTTTTATTTATAAATGGGCATTGTAGAAATTTCCCGATTGACATTCTTGTAACTTGCTTAGTATTTAAGCTTCTCATTTTTCTTCTTTAATATTTTTCCTTTTTTTCTCTCTAGGCCTTCCTTATGCTTTTAGCTTCACTACTCATTACTCTTTCCTCCTTGACAACCTATCATCTAATTTCAGCTGCTTCTTCCTTCTCCTCCTTTTCTGGTAATTCATTTTTGGCTTTCAGATTCTTTGTTTTTAAAACATAGTCCTCTTGGGCTTTAAATACAATATATTTATTTTGAATTTTTTATAATTTCTAAATTCAGTTTAAATAGCTGACCAGATAAAAAAAACACTCAGTTTCAGTGAAGAAAAATTTTCTTTAAAAATTGTTTAAGTGAAACACAAACAGAAAAAAGTGGCATTTCTACCTTTGTAGATAATTTTTAAAATGTTATTAAATGTATCTTCTACTTGACTTTTATATTGGGTGTATAAGGTCCTGGCTTCCTGTTTTTACTGGAGGACTTTATAAGGACTTTATAAGATGGTCAGGGGATCTGGATGGTGACATTATAGGAAGCTATCTGAGCTGCTGGTCTTTTAACCTTAGGTGAAAGACAGGATTAATAGAATCCTATTCAGGTTATGTTCTAGAGCAGGGGTGGGGAACCTTTGGCCTGGGGGCCAGATGTGGCCCCTGGTTTGTCTGGATCTGGCCCTGGAGGATCAGGACCTCAACCAGCATTGGGGAGCCGATGCTGGCACTCCAGCCCTTCCCTACCCCCGCTGCACCATTGTGCAGCTGGAGCACACACAATCGACTAGGCTGGGCTCTCTTAGGCTAACGTGCATGGGTTGGGAATGTGGGAGTGTCTTTCTCCTTCTCAGTAGGGGGTCATGTCAGTGAGGGTTTTTTTTGTTTGTTTGTTTGTTTGTTTTTTGTGTTGTTTTCTTCTCACTTGTGTGCAGCCCCTAACTGATTTTTCTGTGGGTCAGTGGCCCCCAACCCAAAAAAGGTTCCTCACCCCCGTTCTAGAGGTTGACCTAAATAACAGTATTCTCCAAAATCTTACAAGTTAAAATGGAGTTCAGGTCCCGAGGTTCTGATTATTAGTCATGTAAAAAAAAGACAAACAATTAAAAAAACATCTGTATACATCATAAAGAAAGAATTTGAGTGTGAACAATTTATTTATTTTTGCTTTGCAGTCCACCACTAATAAGAGGGTTATTCATGTTTATTAGAATATGTTGGATCTTTTGTGATGTCCTGATATGCTATCCTGCAGGAATGGTACCAAGCACTCTTATTTGAGGGACCTTGCTCATGGAAACTGTTCCCTTTAATGGTGTTCCAGAAGTACTAAGATTTGGCAAGCTTCTTTTCAGCAAGGCTTTAATCAGTGGGATTTTACCACTGACTGCATACCATCCAGTTTCTGTGGCGAGTTTCTTTTTCAATTTTCTGTTGGATTGACTCATATTTGTACCATTCCTTTTTAATTATTGTGAAGAGTCCCTATGCCAGGGTTACTTCTGATGCAGTGATTGTGGGGTTTTTCTTGACTTCTGAACTCATATAAGCCTACATGTGTATATGCACTTCCAAAACGGCAAAATATCAAGCTCTGAAGTCTTTAAGTGAGCATTTCTCAAACTGGGGGTTCTGACCCAAAAGTAGGTTGGAAAGCTATTGTAGAGGTGACATTTTATAGCCATCCTTCTGTGCTATCTTCAGAGCTGGGTGGCTGAAAAGTGGTGGCTGCTAGCTGGGCACACAGCTCTGAAAAGAGTGCTGTTACCCGC